ACAAGGCCTGCCCCGTGGCTGTTTTCCGTGTCTTGCTGGATGGGTGGGACGATTTCCTGAAGATCCCACGCTGCATGTATGAAGAGTTCACAGCTGCCCTGAAGAGGAGACATCCTGAGCCAGACCAGCTAGCGTCTGCGGAATGCATGGCCACATTGACAGCTTTGGCGCATCAACTCAGCACTGACATTGGTGCGATTGAAGCATCGCATGCGAAGAACCGGGACATATCGAAAATGCGGGCTAGCGCCTGGCAACCCACAATGTCTTTCGTCTCTGGCAAGTTCGTCCTACGCAAAGTTGCGCAGGCGAAGTCTGCAACAGCGTCCCAGCAGATGGCAGAGCTTCAGCGTAAGGATGAGAAGAAGGACAGCAGGAAGCGGCAGAAACGGCCTGGCGGGGCTTGGCGTGCTTTTGTGCACGCGCAGATGCAGAAGCGACCTGGCCAGGCCTTTGATGCTGCCCTGATTCGCGAACTGGCAGTACAATACCGAAACCTGTCAGATGATGACAAGCGCCACTACATGGAACTTGGGTTCTTAGCAAACGCAGCTGGCAGACATGGTTTCGCCCCCTTTGGCAGACAGGCCCGGCCAGAACCGGCTTCTCTACCACCCGGTGACACGACAGAGGTGGTGGCTGCAGACGATGCTTCCATGCCTGCCTGCGCCATTCATGGCATCAACACACGTACCTTCGACCAGGCGCTGGCTGCAGAGCAGAGAAAGTGGCCATCGCAGAGATCCACGCAGGCAAGCCTTCGGGAAGAGGTAACAAAGCTCGTGGCTTATGCCTCGTCGTCAGCCACTCGTGAACAGATCACAGCGCTTGCATGCTTGTGCAACTGAGACTTTCGAGCCGGTCCCATCCAGCGGCGCCCTAAGGGAACTGCAGTGCAACCTTCCGCTTGAGAAGCTGGCCGCCGCCGCAGCTTGTGCAGCAGGCGCGAATCGTGCAACAGGTGCTATGGCAGGCGCAATGAGAGATCGCTGGCACAGACAACACCGTGTTCTTTCTCATGAAGAGCAGCCCCCTTGCCCTAGTTTGCCTGAGTCTGTCTTCCCACTGACAGATTGCTACGACCTGCAGGTGTGCGTGTGTGAGCAGGCGTCTGCCAACAACCAGCAGATTCCTCTCTTCAAGCAGCGCTTCCAGACTGCGCTGGCCCGCATCTTCAGTGGGACGAAGAAGGCTCCGTCCCCTGCTCTACTTTTGTTGCGGCAGGGACGAGTAGTCCTGCAGCTGGCAAGGCAGCAAGAAGAGGACTGGGCAGATGACGCGCTGTCTGCTCTCATGGAAGATGATTCCCAGCCAAAGCAGGTGCCCGCAGAGCTTTTCTTTCACGTGGGGCGGTGCAACTTCAACACCTTCTCCTGTAGTGTGCTGCCTCTCACCCTGGTGAAGAATCCGAATGAAAATGGTTTCCTTGAACTGGAAGCAGACACTGGAAGACAGGCGGCCATGGTTGCTCAAACAATTCCGCAACTGGCTGCCGAAAGCATGAACCTTTCAGACGCTTATGCGCTCACTGTGTATGAGGTGGTTGCCGACTCAGAAACGGTGCTCAGTGAAGAGCGCGTGCGAGGCTTCATTGTGGAAGTTAAAGCAAACCCTCTCGTGGAGACGCAGCTTGTCTGGAAAGGTGCTGGGCACGAGACCCGTGCAGCTGCGCCCAAGCGCGCTGCGCGACCTAAGCAGCAGGCTGGGCGTGCTGGTGGTAGGCGAAGAAGAGCTGTCAGACAGGCATCTCTAGCTGCCCCACCTGCAGAGCGCGACGAGTACGATGCTGATGCTGAAGGAGGTGCACAGGCTGAGCATCACGAAGACGACTTGCTTGTGGACGGGGAGGGCGACCTTGAGGAATTCCCGGACGAGAGTGGCGACATCTGGCCGCATGACCAATGTGACAAGGAAGGAGATCCTGACCAGGACTTGTTTGATCCTGGTGTTGTGGGTGGGATTGGCTCTCTCAGTTCCGATGGGGAACACAGCAACATCTGTGCTTCCGTGCACTCCAGCAGCGACGGCAATGCTAATGCCAAGGACGATGTTGTGGACTGCCAGGACTCCAGTGGTTCCAGTAGCTCCAGCTCCATGTCATCGTCTTCCAGTTCGGTGTCTGTGAGCAGTCTTTACGAGTTTGCTCGGGAGGGAGAGGAAGAGGAAGACATGGAAGCAGATGACGAAGTTGTTGATGATGCAGTGCCAAATCCTGTGGTACGGGAACCTGCCAGCCAGCGTGCCTCGGTCGTGGCTCGCAGAATTCCTACAGCGCAGGATCATTTTGCAGTTCCTGGAGTAGGACAGCTTCGCTACAGTCCTATCGATGGCTACCTCCGTGCTTTTTGCGCAAGGCACACTAATTGCCAACGGCAGAGAACGTGTAAGTCCTCAGACCGAAAAGTTCAGCAAGGGCGCCCGATCGGTGCCTTGATTGCCTGGATGAGGTGCGGCGCAGACTTCGGTACAAGAGATGAGCATCAGCGGGCACAGCCCTCGCACGAGGCAAGGTGTTCGGCCAGGGAGCTGTTCAAGACATTGCCTGACTGGAACACATGGGCGGAGTATGAGTGCCCCAGACGAGCATCAGAGCCAGAAGAACCAGTGCAGGCCCCGTAAGCCTTAGGCCGTCGGCCTTCAGCGCGTGCTTTGCTTCGGACAGTGTCAAGTGCTGACAAGAAGACAGATGCAAAACAGATGTGCGTTTCCTTCTGTCGCTTCTCTTTGCCAGCAGCAGGTAGTGTCCAAGTTGTTCCAGCAGAGTTGTTCTGTCATTCCACGCATACTTGGCAATGATTAGGCATTAGGCCGCATGCTTCATAATGTCCCTTCCCGATCCTGACCCGAGAGCTGCAATTTGAGATGCACAGTGTTGCTTGCCGCCCATGTGCAGGGTGTACCTGGTCTTCCTTCGCAAAGATAGCTTTTGGGAGAGAGGACGCGAAAACATGTCAAGGACCTTGTGGAGGACTGCGGGTTAGACCATTTCGTGACGCGTTGGGCCATATCAGGGTTTTAAGGGGGACCAGACATGGGGTAATAGTAGCGTGAACACGGGAGCTTGGCAATTAAACAAATCCCAAGCAGGAGGTTTTGCGCAGGCAAGCTGCGCTGACTCCAAAACACTTGTACGAGCTACTGCTACCGGTGGGCTGCGCAGACTTTGCGCGGCAAGTGGCGAAGCAGCCAAGGACTCGCCCTAGCGCGGGTCTGGCTGAGGAGAGGTGTTCTGATTTTCGCTTTAGGTAGGGATGGAGGCCCCCAATGTCGGATTTTGGAATGGTTTTTGGAACGCTTTTTGGAACACCTTTTCGAATGGGGGTCCGGTCTGGGGCCGGATTCTAATGGTTTTCCTAGGAAAAACAAGGAAAATAGTGTTCCAAATAGTGTTCCAAATAGTGTTCCAAATAGTGTTCCAAAAAGGGTTCCAAAAGTGTTCCAAAAAGGCGTTCCAAATTACCACCCCAGAAAAAGGGTTCGGAAAAGTGTTCCAAGACCAGCCCCCTGTGCCCAGGACACCGAGGACTGGACGCGCGCAGCCTGCGCCAGATGGTGGAGTGGCGGGCCAGCCTCCTGCTGAACAAGGGGGTTCGCCCGACTGCAGGCCATGGAGCTCGCTTCCAGATCAGCAATGGCGTGGTCTCAACCCAACTGACCGGGTGAAGGCCATTTTGGACGCTGTCGCCTGCGAGAAGCTCCCCGCCAGAAAGCTGAAGGCCTCGTTGGCTGAGAAGAAGGAATTGCTGAAGCACACGTACGTTGATATATCCCAAAATCCGATCCGCAGATGCTTTACAAGCGCGGATGAGTTGTCTCCGTGCCTGACCCAAGGGTTGCTTTTGCCGCTCGAGTTGATGTTTCTCCAGGGACATAAGCGCGGTCTCCAGGTCCCGGAGGACGTGCCCCCAAACTCCCTGAAAGATCTCGCAGGCGAGGGATTTTTCCTGGCGTGTATGGGTACCATTCCATGGTCCCTACACGTTGCTGGCTGCCTGGGCTCTGGAAGCAACAGCAGCAGCTCAGGCAGTAGGAGTAGCAGCCGTCCTTGAATTTGACATCCATTTTGGACATGTCACTTTGCTCCTGGCCCTTTAGGTTTTCGACTTTAGGACTTTGGGCTAGGCTGTGGGAGAACCGCGCACCAGCAGTCGCAAGGTCTGCCCAACAGCAAGCCATGTGCTGTCTCACCTGCAAACATGTACAGGCCTCCGTAGTTTTGCCTGAACACACTGGAGATAGTTATTCAGGTGTGGTGCCTACAGCCTACAGTAATCATAATCTGAATTGCCATGTTTTATGAAGCAGTCAGAAGTGACAGTGTGGTTCCATCTCTGCGTTACTGTTGCAGAAGACTGTTGCAAACCAGGTGTTCGGCATAGCACAGCAGCGTGCGCATTAATCTGGGGCGGGAGTCTGCTTTGAGTCCAATGTGAGAGAAGATGATTTTTTCCATGACAGTATGTAGTTGATCTGAATAGGAGGCGTTCTTGCAAGTTTTGAGTCAATAGTTCAATACACGTAGGGTAAACCTAGATGTGTATGGGCCCATCGTGCAGAGGTGCGTAGACTCAGACCCTGGTCCCAGAAAGGTATGTCATGCCAGGCTACCGGGGAGTTGCGTTTACCAGTGGCAATCGACCCAAGCAGCAAATGCCGCTCTGCGAGAAATGGCTTCACGCAGCTTAATTTGCCACGGCAAGGAAGGGGGCACGCTAGCTTCTATAATTTTCCTGTGGATTTCACGCAGTGTGCTGCAGCAGCATGACTGTCCCAGTAGAACGCCTCATGGTAGCAGTGGATTCATCCCTTTTTGTCCGCTGGGCATGTTGACGTGGGGCTTGCCAGCAAGCAAGCGTCGCAGGTGTGTTTGTGTGTGTGCGCGCTTGCTTGAAGGATTCCGCGTGTAGCTGCTGCAGGAACAACTTCCGTGCTCTGCTGTCCTGCAGCCAGTAGCAGACTCCACAGCAAGTCTAGAGTAGAGCTCAGACGGTCTGCGCCGGATGTCGAAGCGCAAGGCTCCCCTGCGCGCTTTTGAGCCGGCTGTTTTTGTCAAGAGCGTGGAACTGTTGAGCCCTTGCCTTTTTGCAGGTTCAGGGGGTTTCAGTTGTGCTACAGGAGCAGTCATGCTTGGCGGTATTTCCAGCGTGCAAAATCCCAGACATTCAAGGCGAATCTAAACTCTAGCAATTCTACTGTAGGTGCGTGGCGATGTTTTTTTAGAAGTACGCAGGCGGAGAGAACGGTGGAGAAGGAGCTCGCCGTTGTGGCGGCTGCCTCTGAGCCCGAGCTGTCCGTCGCTAAGCGCTCGAAGAAAGAGAAGAAGGCGAAGGTGCTGTTGGAGTGTCTCTTGTGCGGTGGTTCCTCCAAGGACAGCATGCCCTTGTGTTTTCCAGCAGACCTATCCACGAAATGTTGTCTACAAAATGAGATGTAGTTATCGTGAATCAATTTCTTCTGGCCCACGCCTGCAGGACCTCGAGTGGGGCGCGCAGGATGCGGCAGGCCAGCCAGTGGGGCTAGGGTGCGACGTGTGCATGAAGACGGTGGTAGCCCTGCTTCCCGACCGGGAGTTTGTGGATGTTGCAGAAGCTGTCAAGAAGGGCGCGACCAAGGGTGCTTCAGACGCTGATGTCATGCTGCGGGACATGGTGTTGGCGGCCATTGAGCGTTACCGTGAGCAGCAGGACGAGGGGAACCGACCCCTCTTCTCGCCTGCCTCCACTGTCAGCAACATGACAGGGTATGGCTACCGGGTCTACTGGGAGGTTTTGCTTTGCTCGGCCTCAGACCTCACAACTCTCAGTGGCAGACCTGCGAAATCGCTTGGAGCGGCTCCTATCAAGATCAAGTTGGATGGAGAGAACGCTCAGACCTTCTGGCCCTTGAGCATGCAGGGTCTCTCTGAGGACCAGGTGCGGGGCATCAAGAGGATGCAGGTTTACTACGACACGCAGGTTGAGCACGGGGAGTGCTTTCTCAGTCCGGAGCATCAACTGCACCAGGACCACGGCACAAAGAACTTTGGGTTTTACACCAAGAAACACTTCGCTGCCCGACCTGGGGTGGGAAGAGTGGGAGGGAAGCCCTACATCTTGAAGAAGCTCATCCAAGAAGCAGAGATGCAGGAGGCCAAGAATGCAGCCACTGTGGCTGCGGTGTCGGCTGCGAGCTCGCGCAAGCAGCCGGAGAAAGGGTCCGACTCGTCTGAAGAAGAGAGCTCAGGCTCAGGCGGTGAGGACAAGGAGCCAGAGACCGCGAAACCCAAAGCAAGGGCGGCGCCTACACCAAGTCTTGGCAGTCTGCGGGGCCCAGACGCCAAAAAAGTGGCCAGGAAGCCCAAAGCAGCTGCTGCGCGGCGTAACAGTCCTTTTGCTAAGAAGCCGCCCAGCAGCTCTGCCGCCAAACCCAGGTCCCTCACAGTGGGGGGCAGCAAGAAAGACCGGGAGTTGGCTGCTCAGCTGGACGACCTGGAACAGCACGACCCCGAGATGTTCAAGGTCGCAAAGGACCATCTTCGCAACGCTACAGGTTCAAGTGCCGCCTGCTTGAAGCAGCTGAACGTGAACCACTTCCTGACCAACACGAAGCAGGGTCAGGTGTTGAACGCTGCCTCATGTCTCATTTAATTTCGGGCCGCAGTGGAGATTGTTTGTCTTAGTCCCAAATGCTGGAGATTTGTTCAGTGTGATAGACACCATCCCAGGCCGGTAAGATCCATGACAAGCTGATGGAGTACAACCTTGTGGGCGCAGCCAACATGCTAGCTGAGCGAAAAGCGGTGTGTGAAGCAGCTGGCATCCTGACGGATGGTGACGTTGGCGACATGAAGATGGACGACCTCCGCAAAGCGCTTGTCTTGTTGCAGGGCGTCATTGATGAGTTGCCTTTGAGCATCTTGCTGAAGGTGACACAGAGGGTGCTGACTGACAAGCTCACGCACCTCGTGAGCCTGCGGGAGAAGGGGGACGAGTTCACGGCTGAGTCTTGCGACTTTGTGACGGCGCTTCTTCCCGTCTCCCCTACGGCTACTCTGTTTGACGTGCACCATCCTACTTTCCATGGTTTCGTGGCGAAGCTTGTGGACAGCGACAACATCATGGAGGAGCCTGAGGCATCGGACAGCAACGACGAGGCCGCGGATGCAAAAACCAAGAAGGACGAGACCCAGTTGCAGGAGGTGGCTCTCTTGTTTCAGGAGCCTGCGCAGCTTGCGTTTGGTAATTTGGCTAGTGCTATTGGCTAGTGCTGCTGTTGCTGCTGCTTCTCCTGCTCTTCTGCTGCTGCTGCTGCTACTGCTGCTGCTGCTGCTGCTTCTTCTGCTCGGGCTGCTACTGCTGCTGCCGCGCTTTTTTTTCTTTGCAGGAAGTCAGACAGTCCAAGCTGTTTAGATCACAGTGGATGCCCGCCCCAGACTTCTCCATACAAACCTAAACCTTAAACCCTAAACCCTAACCTTAAACCCTAAACCCTAGGTGGTGACTCATGAGTACGTATTCATGTCGTGCTGGGTCCCATCTAGTCAAACAGGTGTTGTATCTGTTGCTGTGGCCGCAGACAGGTAGCCCCATGTTTTGAAGTTAAGGTCCCATTTTTTCCCGTAGCGTCATGCCTATAGCGTTGATTTCTGAGACAGCTACAGCAACAAGCCAAGCAAACCTCCATAGCTTCCCTATGCCAGACTACCCCAAGTCCAGCAACAGCAGCCTTGTATTATTTCCGAATTGTTGCATTTGTTGCTAGTCGACGCGGGTTAGGCTGTGAAATTAGATTCCCGTTAGATGTTTCCTGTGATCTGCAGGCCGTTTGTCCTGTTTGCTGGGTGTCACATTGACGTGTCAGGGCCTACGCGCAGACAATGCGCGTGAATCTCAGGGTTTAGGCTCCGGGCTTGGGGTTTCGGGTTTGGGGTTTGGGGTTTAGGGTTCAGGGGCTACCACCATGTATGTTGCAGTTTGAAAGTTCACCTTTCTAACCCGGGATCCCCTGTCACCCCTAGATTCCAGGCCAAGCTAGCCGCTTAGCAGCCTACCTTCCTGAGTTGAAGATAAGTACGGGCCTGCGCCCTCACCTCGCCCCGTTGCTCTGGCAGGAAGCTGGCAAGTGTATCTTGGCTGCAACGCCAACAGCCTGCACGAGCTCATGAACCTTTGCGCCGAGGCGGAGGACGCTAGCTGTGCGAGCGCAGATGCCATCCGGTCCCTGGCAACTGCCTTTCTTCAGTCCCATGCAGCCTTAGAGGGCAAGTTCGAAAAGCTAGCCAAAGACCACGGTGAAGCAGGTCTTGCGCTAGTGCAGAGTGTGGAACGAGCAAAGAAGCTGTTCCGGTGCCTTTCGCACTTGCTCTCAGGCCCCGACGTGGGCACGCCAACCACCGCAGCAGAAGTTCTCTACTTTTCCAGCTTCCAGGGACGAGCCACTTTCGAGCGGAGTTTTCGAATCACTCTGACTAAGAAGAAGAAAGTGGCAGACACCGAGGATGAGATGCCTGGGTTTTGGCAGAAACTCATTGATGAAGCTATCCGCACAGCTGCTTCAAGCGTGCAGCTGCGACCCTTGTTTGACCAGGTCACTGCGAAGCTAGAGAAGGACGACGTCTTCGACACCCATGCTGGGGCCCAGTGGTTGGTGGAGTCGCTTGCCAAGCTCAAAGGCGGAATGCGCAGCGCAGACCTCGAAGACATGCTTGGTGACGCGCAAGAGAAGATGATGAAGAAGGTTGAGAACATCAGGGGGGCAAATGTAGCTGATGTCTCCACTGCTGTTGTCGAGGCCTTGAAGATGGGCTTGAAGTTGTTCGAGAAGGAGCCGGGGGTGCTGGCTTGCCTGCAGACCCTGGAGACGTGGATGAGCGACAACATCCACGAGATCTCTGCAGGTCGCTTTGTTGCACTCGCGCAGCAGTTCTTGGACACCAAGAAGCTCAATGCAGACGACGTGAGCTCCGCCCTGAAGCGCTGCAAGCGCGGGAAGACAACCCAGGAAAGCCTGTGTGTGGTGGAGAAGTTCTGTGCAGCATGCTACGAGCTTCTCCTCCAGGAGGTCATTGAAAAGAAGGCGACCCAGCACATGAACAAGGTGCTGGCCCTTGTCGACAAGTCCGTGATCCTGCACTATCCTGAGGCCTGCCTGGTGAAGCTGTTTGTCATGACGGCCTCTGCTCTCTTGAAGGCTGCCAAGGAGGCGTTGGACGCCCTCGATCAGTTGGAGAAGTTGGCCAGTTCCCCAGAAGCCCGTTTGCGAAAGGACAAAGACATGAAGCTAATGGAGCTCATCACTAAGTGCCTCTCGAACTTGCTAGAGAGGCAGCGTGACATGAGTGCTTTCCGCCGTGAGCAGGAGGACGCCGTGAGCAAGCATCACAAGGAACTTCGCGACATCGCTTGGTCCGACTTCGCCGGCCTGGAGGAGAACGAGACGTACCAGGCTTGCCTCCTGTTCAAGATGCAGGTCTTGCTCAAAGAGATGGACACCAAGGGTGCACAGTGCCTCATGCTGTGCGCTGGCTATGAGCAGGGAGGCAAGAACCCATGGACCGTTGACTTCACCGCTGAGACCACCGCGGACGAGTTGGTGAAGGGAACCGAGAAGTCCTTGAAGAATTTGCCCAGTAAGTCCATGAGTGCAGCATGCGAAGCTTTGTCCCAGGACCCCTTCTGGACGGAATTCTTAAGTTGGGCCTCAACCTTAGCCTCACCCTAAACCCTAGACCCTAGACCCCATAAATTACAAACCCTCAATAGCAAAGCAGATGCCAGCGACTCTAGCAGTGGTCCTGAAGTTTTGCTGCCGCTTCAAATAGGAGCAGGTAATGTGTGTCTACAACATCCTCCTACTCAATAGTTAGGTCCCAAAATTTTCAACATATAAGTTGGTCCCCGAAGAGGTTGTTAGTAGTTATACGTCGCAGTGTAGCCTCACAATGAAGCCAAGAGGTTTCGTGGCCTATCTTCAGATCAATTATCCTGGTGTTGTTGCTTCCTTTGTCGCAGTCAGTAGGCCATTGGGATCCCTTTTCCTGGCAGGAGCTCGCGAAGGCTTGCGGCTTTGTGGAGACCTTTGGGAACTTGGTGCGTGAGGGGTCGGCTTTTGATACGCTAGCAAGTTTGAAGGAGAAGATCCCCTTGCTAACAAGTAGGTTGGCCGCCACTTGGGCGCTGTATTGTGAAGTCATTCTCTTGGCATGCCTTGTCGCGAGCAATCGTGAGAGGCAGAGGTCAAGCGTACTGAAAATTAATGAGCATCTTGTGGCACGTAAGTACGGCGTGGATGAAGAGAAACTCTTCCAGCCGCTGGTTGCCCTTACAAAGCCCCTCATGGAGTGATGGGTGACAGGTTCTGACTGTGCAGCATGGAAAGGAGCTGCGCTTCAACAGAAGGCGCTGCATTTTGATACCGCACCAGGAGTGATGGACCCCGGAGTTGAGCTCGAGGCCAAATGAAAGTTGTCCGAATGCAATTCTTTTTTCAGGAAGCAGACTCCAAATGTCATGGGGCAGGCTTGCACAGTCTGGGGGATGTGCCTCATGGGCATGCCACATGAGTCTTTTCCAGGAACACATTTCCGAATAGACTCCAATTTGGGAACACTTTCCCCACACAATTCTGGAACACCTCTGGAATACTTTTTGGAACACTAAATACTTCAAACCTGAATATAGGCCTTAGGCTGGTTACCGAACTTGTAACCCTAGACCCTATGCCCTAAGCCCTAGAAACCCCTAAACTCTAAAAAACCCTAAACCCCTAAACCCCTACACCCTAAACCCCTAAGCCCTAAACCCTAAACTAGGTTTTTAGGGTTTAGGGGGATCCTCCAGAAGCACTTTAATCTTTCACTCCTACACCCTAAACCCCTAAACACCTAAAACCTAAAACCTTAAACCCTAAACCATAAAACCCTAAAACCCCTAAATCCCTAAACCCCTAAAACCTAAAGCCCTAAACCCCCTAAACCCCTAAACCTCTAAAACCTTAAACCCCAAACCATAAAACCCTAAACCCCCTAAACCCAAAGCTCTACGGCTGGGATTCGCAGTACTCTTAGGTACCCAAAGAGCAAGCGGTGTTCTCCCTTAACAGCCCCAATCTTAGCTAAAGACCTAAACCTGAAGCACTGATCGTATTAGAGTTATATAAAGGTATAGGATGTGAGGATTAGTGTTTTAGGGTGTGGGATTTAGAGTTTTAGGGTTAGTATTTAGGGTTGCAGAGATAGGGTTAAGGGTTTAGGACATAGGGTTAGCGTTTAGGGTTTAAGGTTTAGGGAGATAAGTATAACTCTTAAGTCCAGTCATACAAGGAATGGTGGGGCAGAATGTTGGTCATGGTTCATCCATTCTTTTATAAGGTTCTGCTGTAAGGTCGTCAGCATTTAGGGCTCCCAAAACCCAAAACCCTAAACCCCAGACCTTAAACCCCAAACCCTAAACCCTAAACCCAAACCCTAAACCCTAAACCCCAAATCCCAAGCCCTAAGCCCGAGACTCTAAACCCCAAACCCCAAACCCCAAACCCTAAACCCCAAATCCTGAATCCCAAACCCTGAGCCAAACCCTAAGCCCTATACCCTAAAGAGTCCGTGTGAAGGTAGCAACTCGGCCTAGATCAGCTCCATTTCGCAGGCAGCAGCTTTTGCACTGGCTTCCGAGTTGTGCAAATAGGCTTAGGGTTTAGGGTTTAGGCTTATAGGGTTACCTGGACCCCAAAAATAGGTAAAAACATAGCCCACAATGCCGAACAACAGCCCAAAAGGCTATTATTGTACATACTTTTCGGGTAAGCCCCGAGCCCTAAACCCTAAATCGTAGTTTCCATTTTCTTTTCCATTACCCCTATATCCTTTTATAACCCCTAATATAGGTAGGGTTTGCGGTGTAGGGTCCAGGCTCTCAGTAAATCAAGGCTGTGGACTCAGGACCATGACCATGGACCCTAAACGCTAAGGAATATAGGTTGGGTTGGGCCCCCACCCATTAATAGTGGTATATTAGGAATATATGAGGACCCTAATATCATTTACCTTTACCTTTTGGGGTCACTATTAGTGGGTGGGGGCCCAACCTAGAATATAGGGATCATGGAAAAGAAAATGGAAACTACTATTTTGGGGTTTGTAGGGTTTGGGCTCAGTAGGGTTTAGGGTTTATGGTGAGTGTTCAGGGCTTGGGGTTTAGGGTT